AGGAGCAGAGTCTGAGGCCTGCGGAGAGCTGGCTCCTGACAGTCCCTGAGTTCCTGGCTCGGCTTTCTCAAGCCTCACTGAGATTTCTGACCCAGAGGCCTGGGCTCTAAAGCCTGCGACCGGCTCACCAGCCCGGGGCCAGGCCAAGAAGGCTGGGAGCATCCCGCCATCAAACCGCTTCCGGTGCCTTTAAGTCTCCCCCACCCCCAGGGGGCCCTGGGAGTGGGGAGGGGAAGGGGGAGGGAGGGGGAGGAGGGGGGAGGAGGGGGGAGGAAGGGGAGGAGGGGGAGGGGAGGAGAGGAGAGGGGAGGGAGGGGGAGGGAGTGGGAGGGGAGGGGAGGGAGGAAGGAAGAGGGGGAGGGAGGAAGGAAGGGGAGGGGGAGGGGAGGGGGAGGGGAGGGGTGCCCCTGGCGGCCCCGGAACCGCTAGGCCTCGCGCCCTTGGGGTGGCAACCTTAGGGAGGACAGCCGCAGACCTTCTCTCCGTCCCCCGTTTTGTGGGTTCGCTGACCCCGCGGTGGGGGCGCCCCCCGCCCCGCCCCCAGACCCCCCCCCCGCCCCGCCCCGTCGCGGGGCCCCGGCGATCCGCACGCTCCAGCCCCAGCCGCAGGGGCTCTGGGAGCCAGGGGGCGCGGAGCGCGGGGTGCGGGCGGCGGCCGGCCATCCTCCGGGATGAACCTCGCGCTCCCGACCCCCGGCCCCCTCCCCGCTCCGCCTCTCCCCCCTCCCCGCCTCCCCCCCTCCCCCGCTCCGCCTCTCCCCCCTCCCCGCCTCCCCCCCTCCCCGCTCCCCTCCCCCCACCGCTCCTCCCCGCTCCTCCCCGCTCCTCCCCGCTCCTCCCCGCTGGGTCGCGAGGACCCGGCCGGTCAGCGCCCCGGAGTAACCCCGCGTGCGGGCGGGGCGAGCGCGGAGGCCACGCCCCCGCCGGAGGCGCCGCCCCCGGAGCACGGTGATTGGCGGATGAGGCCGCGGGATGAATGGGGTGACCGCGTGGGGGGGCCGAGAGGGCCGCGGGGCGGGCGGGGGAGCGGAGGCTCCGCCCTAGCTGCGGGCGGTTAACGGTCCTCGCGCCCGCGAGGCGTGGGAAGAGCCGGCGGGGGCGTGGGGCCGGGCCGGCCTCGGTTCGCGCAGCCCGGAAGGGAAGGGCCAGAGGGCTGCAGTCGGATGGGGGAGGGCGGAGGACGGGGAGCGGGCGGGCCCGGGGGGTGGGGGGATCCGAGGGGGGGTCCTCCGAGGGGGGTCCCCGAGGGGGGTGGTCCTCCGGGGAGTGGTCCTCCGGGGGGTCCCGAGCGGGGTCCTGGGGGGGGGGTCTTGTGGGGGGGGGTCCCCGAGCGGGTCCTCCGGGTTCGCGCTCCTCGTCCGGAGGAGTCCAGGCACGCCTCGTGTGCGGGCCCGGCGCCAGCCAGCGGGCCGGCCTCGAAGGGCCGAGGAGGAGCCCGGTGAAAACGGGGCGACCCGCGGCCCAGGGGAGGGAAGGGGGCCTGGAGGAGGGGAACCAGGGGGAGGGCGGCCGGGGGGGAGGGGGACGGGAGGGGGGATCCAGGGGGAGGGGGCCGGAGGGGGGGAGCCAGGGGGAGGGGGCCCGAGGGAGGGGAGACCCCCCCCAGGCCTGGCCGGCCCCACCGGCCGCCGCCCTTTTCTCGCCCTTTCCCGGTGGCTTTGTCGGATTCTGTGGATAGGCGCCCCCCAAGGAGCGGGGGACCCCAGGGCCGTCCCAGTTCTCGGACCTCCTGGCAGTCAGGGCCGGGTTAGGATCCAGCCGTGGCCGTGGGTGGTGCAAGCGGCCTGCACGCTCCGGGCCAGCCCAGCTGGAGCAGCAGGGAGGGGGACGGCTGGAGATGCTGAGTGGGGACGGCAGGGAGGCCAGGCCCGGAGGGAAGCCCCTCCCCAGGAGCCGCTCACCCGCCCACAGCCCGGCCGCGGGGACTCGTTCCCACCCGGGCCAGTGTTTTCCTGTAATGCGAGGGGAAAAAACATTGGGGAAAGGAAAATTCTTGTGACTTTTGGCTAGTTACCAAAAAACCCGAAAGGGCATGCTCGGATACTCTGCTATGACAGAGTGAACTGTATTGTCATTGTCTCTACATTTGTTTTTAACAGTAAAAATGGATGTTATCTATAACAAATTATCTTCAAACTGGCTGGCCTGAGCAACTTTTGGTTGTTGTTGTAATCTCAAAGCTTCTGCAGGGGAGGAATTAAATAGTTTCTCTTGGTGGATTCTTTGCAGCAGAAAATGACAGAATGGAAACGGGACTGTGCTGGGCCTGTGGTGTCCGAGGCTTCATTTGAAAGCTACCTCCATGTTCACATCTGGTAACTGCAGGACTGGGGTTCAGGGTTGGTAGAAAACCAATCTTAATTCCTTCCATGCTGGGTATCTATCGCATAGTACTTTGCTTTTGCATTATCAAGACCTAGAAGCTAAGAAGCTATAGAAAGGGTGCTGATTAGAGAGTAGGATCCTTTTTTTTTTTTTCTTTATACCATGTTCCCCAAAGGAGTCTCAGACGGCAGAGATTATTGGGAGGCACACCAGGTGCTGTCCACTGTGTGATCAAGGCACCATAAAGTGACAAGAATGTGAGGCTTCATGCCTATGCTGAAACAGCCAGTGTTCTTGGAGGTATGAATCACGCGAAGTGCGTTCTGAGCTGGACAGACACGTGCGCTGCTGTCCACCTGGCACACCATCATGCTAGAAAAACACGGATGAATGACACGTTTGCTGCCCTTTATTAAGACAGATATGGGCAAGCATCTACAGTAGCACCACATACACACACACACACACACACACACCTGCCCTGTGGGGAAGGGAGGAAAGAAACTTTTTGTTCTAGGTCACATTCCAGGAAGGGACAGGTTATGGAGGGAGGAAAGGGGAAGCGACCTTACACATGCAGAGACTAAAACAGTCACCCTAGGCAGCAACAGGATGACTTGTATTTCCAAAACTTTGAAGTGGCCTAAAAATTGCTCCCAAATTTATGCTGAGAGGCTGTTTGGCAAAATTTTCAGTATTGAAATACACCTGTAAGAGCTTAGTGGTAGAGTGCTTGCCTAGTATGCATGAAGCCCTGGGTTCAATTTCTCAGTACCACAAACACAGAACAAGCCTGAAGTGGCACTGTGGCTCAAGTGATAGAGTGCTAGCCTTGAGCAAAAAGCAGCTCAGGGACAGTGCCTAGTTCCTGAGTTCAAGCCCCAGGTCTGGCAAAAAACCGACAACAAAAAACCTGTAGAGGGTGCCTTGACATTTAGCCATCCAGCTTAGATCAACAATAGATCTGTCAATGACTCAATAGTCTAGAAGACACTTCCACAGATGCTGTCAATGAATCAATAGAAGACACGTCCACAGATGCTGTCAATGAATCAATAGAAGACACTTCAATGAATCAATAACCTAAACACTTCCACAGATGATGCTTGATCCAGTAAGGTATTTGGAAAAAAAGTGCTAAATATCAATGGTTTTCAAAAGGTAATTAAAATGTAACATAAGCATGCAGAATTCCATTTAATTAAGATGGCACATCCAGTTTGGGTGTGAAAAATTGTCCTATCAAGCTCATGACATGTAAGGACCTGCTTAATGTTGCATTAAGGTAAGGTCTTCAGTGACACATTATACAGAGGACCCAAAGAGCACATGACCTGACTAGATCACATATGCTAATTTACAGCTTGTTTTGTAAATGACAGAATTGGGGCAAAACATATTCTGTACTAGACCATTCTGTAGAAAATGTTACTTAACCAAAAGACACACCTTAAACAACAAAGGCTACCCTGGTGCCCAGCACTGTGTTTTTTTTTTTTTTTTTTGGATCCGGTTGTGGGGCTTGAACTCTGGGCCTGGGCGCTGTCCCTCAGCTCTTCAGCTCAAGGCTAGCGCTCTACCACTTGAGCCACAGTGCCACTTCGTTTTTTTCTGCTCATGTGGTGCTGAGGAATTGAACCCAGGGCCTCGTGCATGCTAGGCAAGCGCTCTACCACTGAGCCAACTTCCCAGCCCCAGAACTGTGTATTTTTGATCTTTTATATTTGTGAGGTTGTGTGTGTGTGCGCGAGCGCGCGCGCATGTGTCTATTTTTTCTACTGTAAACTGTATAGAGAATGTCAGTTTTTTATTGGATTAATCTTTTACTTTTCTGTATGATTTAAAATATAAATATCTGATTTTAAACAACAAAGGGTATATTGTTAAACACAGTTCCGGGCTAAAAGTTATCTGCTGTTGTCTAGAAGCCTTTTGCACTTTCCTATGTTATGAAACAAATCAGTAACAAAATTTGTCTTTTGATAACTAGTGAAGTAAAAGGCCCAGAGAATGTCTTGCATGAACACCTTATCTTTAGCTTAGTTTAGCATTTGCAAAAGTTGATAAGTCAGCCTTCCCACGGTGAAATTTTCTCAGATTATTATTGTGCTGAAAATAAGATTTCCAAAGTGACAGGAACTGATGCTTTCTCTTTGGTTTAACTTCTGCTCAAATAATACCTAAAGAAAGCATGTTTTACTGATTTGTTTTCCATTCACCATTTTTTAATCCATCCAACAAACGTATGTTCAGTATTGTGTGTGGAGGTCCTGGGGCCTAAACTCAAGACCTGGGCACTGTGTGTAAGATTTTCACTCAAGGCTGGCGCTGCACCGCTTGAGCCACAGGCGCACTTCCGGTTTTTTGGTGGTTCATTGAGATAAGAGTCTCAGGGACTTTCCTGCCTGGGCTGGCTTTGAACCGCGATCCTCATATTCAGCCTCTCGAGTAGCTGCGCTTACAGCTTCAGGAGTGAGTTTCTGGAGTGGACCTGTGACCCCTGTGAACAACCAGAATCCCGAAGATGTGAGAGCAACGATGGGCGCGGGAGTCAGGCAGGGGGGAGGAGAGCGTGGGGTGACCTCAGCGGCTGCAGCTCGGTCTCCTGGAGCGGCTCCTGGGGTTCCAAGGCCATTTAACCCTGCCCCACCCAGAGCAGGATCTCAGGGTATCACCTAGATGATCCATCGCCCAGGGGCTGGGGCGCCTCCGGGGGCCCGAGGGGGTGGGGGCCCGAAGAGAGTGGGGGGGCCCGAGGGGGTGGGGGCCCGAAGAGAGTGGGGGGGCCCGAGGGGGTGGGGGCCCGAAGAGAGTGGGGGGCCCGAGGGGGTGGGGGCCCAAAGAGAGTGGGGGGGCCCGAGGGGGTGGGGGCCCGACGAGGGTGGGGGCCGCCGAGGGGGTGGGGGCCCGAGGGGGTGGGGGCCGCCGAGGGGGTGGGGGCCCGAGGGGGTGGGGGCCGCCGAGGGGGTGGGGGCCGCCGAGGGGGTGGGGGCCGCCGAGGGGGTGGGGGCCCGAGGGGGTGGGGGCCGCCGAGGGGGTGGGGGCCGCCGAGGGGGTGGGGGCCCGAGGGGGTGGGGGCCGCCGAGGGGGTGGGGGCCGCCGAGGGGGTGGGGGCCGCCGAGGGGGTGGGGACCGCCGAGGGGGTGGGGGCCGCCGAGGGGGGTGGGGGCCGCCGAGGGGGTGGGGGCCCGAGGGGGTGGGGGCCGCCGAGGGGGTGGGGGCCGCCGAGGGGGGTGGGGGCCGCCGAGGGGGTGGGGGGCCGCCGAGGGGGGTGGGGGCCGCCGAGGGGGTGGGGGCCCGAGGGAGACCCCGCGCAGATCTCCCGCCCCAGGACCGCGAACGCCACCGCGGCCAGCGCGCAGACGGCGCCCCACGCGGGTCTTGCGGGAAGCCCGGGGGAAAGCCGGCCCGGACGCGGGACCGCCGCGCGCCCCGGCCCGCGCCCCCGGCCCCCGGAACGGACCGGCACCGACGCTCTCCCCCGCGGGGATTGGCCGGGCCGCGCATGACCTCATAGCGCGGGACCCGCTCGCGATTGGCCGGCGGCGCCATTGTGACGTCACGGCGCCCACGCCGCGGCCGCGCCGGCGGCGCCTTCCTCTTCCCGCGGTCCTCGCCGCCTCCCGCGCAGTCCAGCGCCCGCCGCGCCGCCGCCCGCCGCTCCGCCCGCCGCGCCGCGGGCCCAGGTGAGCCGCCACCGGGGGCCCGGCCGCGCCGCCGCTCGGCCCTGACACCGCGCCGCCAGCCCGCACCGGCCCGCGCGGGGACCGCTGCGTGCCGGGCCCGGCCGCGGGGGAGCCGGGCGGCGGCGCGGCGGGCGCGGCCGGGGCCGGGCGGGAGGCGGGGGGCGGGGAGCGGGGGCCGCGGGCCTGGCTCCCCCGCGCCGTGTCACACCTGGCGGGCGCGGTGCGGGACCCCGGACTTTCCCGTCCCCGCCCCGGGACCGCGCCCCGGGACCGCCTCAGGTCTCGTTGACCCCGGCCGCTGGGGCCCCGGGAACCCCGGCGGGGATGCGGGGGGGGGGGGCGCCGTGGCCGCCTGGCGCGGGGTCCCGCCGGCGCTTTGGACGGCGACCCCAGGTCGCAGATCCCGACCGGGCGCTGGAAGCCTCCCGACCGCGGGGGGCGTCGCGCCCGCCGGGGCCGCGGACGGGGGTCGGGAAAGCCGCCCGGGCTCCCGGGGTGTGCGGTTCGCCGCCCTGGCCGCGGGGCGGAAGGGACCTGTTGGTCCCCAGCGGCGGTGCCGCCCGCCCGGCTCGCCCGGCCCGGCCCGCGGCGCTCCTCTTCCCCCGCGGGCCCTCCGACCCGGGGACTTGGTATGGGTGCCGAACCTCGCCTTCCGTTTCGCCTTCAGTTTCTCACCAGGTCCAAAGGGAACTTACAGGTGGGGTCGACGACTGTCGGATGCGTGTGACAATCGAATGAGCCAGATTCTCCGAGAACCGCCCAGCTTAGACCCTGTCCCGGCCGCCCCTTGCCTTCCTGCCTGTAATCCTGCGAGTTCCGGGCTGCAGATTCACGATGCGGACTTGGTGGCGCGCTGGCTGGGAGCGGGGTCTGCACCCCAGCCTCCCGGGCACCCACCGTGCAGCCTCATGTGTGGATGTTTGATGTTTTTCCACTTGTTTGTTCTCACTGTAATTATTGCTTGCTCTACTGCTTTTAGAGGTGAGCACTAGTCCTTGGTATCTTATTTCCAACTGGAATTACATAAACAAGACAAAACTTTTTTACTTTCCCTTAAGGTAACTAAGGAAGATAGTAGAGGCTGTGCTTACATGGTTTTTCCCTTTCTCTTCTGTCTGCACACTTCCCTCAGAGGTCTAGTGTGTACACACACACACATACATGTTGGTGTGGGTCTGGAACCCTCAGTCACACACTCTTCTTGCTTGGCTTTTTGGCTCAAAACTAACACTCTACCACTTGCGCCACAGCTTGACTTCCAACTTTGTGCTGGTGATTAGAGTCTGAGGTGCTTTCTTTGCTTGGTCTGGATTTGAACCACAGTCCTAAGATCTCAGTCTCCTGGGTAGCTAGGATAGAAGTATGAGCCACTGGCTCCTGGCCATCTCACGATATTTTGAATTCCTCTGTGCGTTGCAACTCCTCCACTACCACTGGCATAACCCTCCCCTGTTTCCCGTAACTCTCTTCCTGCGTGCATCTTATACCTGAACCGTTCACCTTTTTGTTGTTGCTTGAGCCAGGGTGTGAGCTCACAGCTTCACACTTAGTAGGCAAGTGCTCACCACTGAGTCCATGTGTCAGCTCCCGTCTCATAAACTGAGTTGAGAGCTAAAGCCGAGAGCTAGCCAGAGACATTCCCAGATTCACTCACCTGTGTCTCCTGCAGCGTGCCCACTCCTGCCTGGCCTTGCACTGCTAGGGTTTTTGTCCAGTCAGCTGCATGCCATTTCTGTAACTGTATTACTTAGTGATTGAAAACCCTAACCTGTGCTGAGAGCTTCATCAAGCCATCCACAAATGAGTTTGTTTACCATCTCTCAAAGCTGCTGAAATCGGTTCCTTTTGCAGCTGATATTCCACTGTTTGTTACTCATTTAGTGGTCTGTTAGCTACTGGCTGCCTGTTTTAACGTGTGCATGGATGCTATGTGGCAGTGATCACCGAGAGGAGTGACTCCTGGTTCGGAGGACTTCCTCATTTCTTCGTACACACACAGATGTTGCAGAAGGCAGCAAGAAGCAGACTTGGGGGCACATGTGTGCCTGCTCTGGGAGCACTTCCTGCCACATCAGAGCCTTGGAGTGCGGAAGTGCTCAGGAGGCTTTTGCTATGAGGAACAGAAAGCCCAGTTCAGATAAATTGAACCTCAAACCCGCTCTGAAAAGTTCTTAAAGGCAGGACTTTTGCTGCATTTCTCTGAAGCCCTCCGAGTTACCCTTTGTGTCCTTGGGCTAGTTTTTGAAAGATGACTGTAACTGGCACCCCCACCCCAGAACAGAAGTACCTCACAGGGACTTCTCTTCCTCCTGATCTGGCCTGGTAACTCAGACCGTAGAAATCAGATCACCTGGAGTCATCCCAGAGGCGGCCACTGCTCCTTGGCGGAGGGCCCTCACACCAGGAAGTCAGCCTTAGCGTCTTCTGGGAGGCCCTCTGGGAGGCTGGCACCAGACTAAAATACATGGAGTCAGCATTTGAATTTCACCTTCTGTTTTTGCATGGGTCTTAGTGGATAGCCAGTGATGGGAGGGTATGCATTTCTGTGCCAGCGGTTTGGGGAGAGCAAGTACAGGATTGTGGGGCACGAAGCAAGTAGCCCAGTTGGCTGAAAGTGGTAGAGAAAGAAGCAGAAAGAGAGTTCTTCCAAAGGCAAGGTGATGCGGTAATACAGATGACTGACTTCTGCCACGTGTCAGACCTTGCACTGACCCTGCCTGAGTACGTAGGTCAACTATTCTTAGTTGGTACTAGAATGTTCTTACTCTACGGATGGAGATGTGGATGCCCTGAGAAGCTTGCACCCTTGCGTAAGGTCACAAGGCATGCAGCTGTAGGCCTGAGGTGCTTGGGAACAGCACACAACTTAAGTATTTGAACTGGAAAGAGTGCACAGTGGGTGCTCTGCTGCAGAAGTCGGCGTCTTGTGGGAGCGAGGAGAATGGGTTGGCGTAGAGAGAGGGGCAGCGGTAAGGCCTGGCCTGGAGCCGCAGCCATGAACACAGCCCAAGGGGAGAGGACCTGAGGTCGCGAGCACTCAAGGGTCAACAAGGGATGGAAGGCATCCAAGGCTGGTGCTAGAAGAGAGGGTGTTCCGGGGGCAGAGCCCCGGGAGGCGAGCATTCGGAACGTCTTTTCTTCCTTTCACGTCCAGAGCTGCCCTCTGTGCCCAGCCTCCATCTTGGCCACTTTTTTGGCTGGCTTTTGGCCAATACATTTTTTCTCCTCTCTCTCATCCATTTGTAGTTCTTTTTTCTATGATAGCATCCGGGTAGAGATGAAGCTTGTATTTAGTGAATCTCAAAGCCACTGAAGGCATTTTCCTCCATTCTAACACTACTGAAATTGGGGTGCTTCCCGCATCTTTTCACGAAGAGCATTGGCAAGAAGAAGGTCCCCAGTATTTCTGAACCTCACATAACCAGTGGCTGGCAGAGCCCCGACTAAGAACAGAGGCTTCTAGCTCCTCCCACCAGCTGTTTGCCTCACATGGATGCATCGTGTAACAGGTTTTACAGTGCCGCTGGGTGTAGGAAGCACGCGCGTGTCTGCCTGCTTGTTCAAGCTGAAGTCGGGTTGGTGAAGGCTAGAAGGCGTGGATGTTTCTGCGGAGAGCCTGCTACTCCTGTTTAGAGACTTGCTGTCGTGGTCCTTGGTCTAACAACACCAGCAGGAGAAAGTCCGCACTGTGTACCAGTCTCTGTCTTTAAAGATGAGGTGAAGGGGTAAAATTTCATCCTTTTTCTTTTTCTTTCTTTCTTTCTTTTTTTTTTTTTGTTTTGGCCAGGTTGAGGTTGCTTATGCCTTGGGCAAGTAGATGTCACCCCTGGGAATAGGAATCACAGTGGCAGAAGGAAACAGTCCTCTGGGTTTGTTTTGCAGAGGTTGGAGATGAAAGTGCTGGGTATTTTCTAGCCTTACAAACCAAATGGTTGAGGAAACTCTTGGGACCTAAACCTGAGTTTCTGTACCAGGACCCTCTCAGCATTGATTCAACCAATAAGGGTTATCCACCAAACTTTGTGGTTGGTTTTTTTGTTTGTTTGTTTTTATACGGCCCAGAGACCAGAGCATGGACACTGTCCATGAGCTTTTTAGCTCAAGGCTGGCACTGTACCACTTGAGCCACAGCTCCCCTTCTGGCTTTTTGGTACTTAATTACAGATAAAAGTCTCGTCAGCTTTTCCTGCCAGTTTGGCTTTGAATCACAGTCCTCAGATCTCAGCCTCCCAAATAGCTAGGATTACAGGCATGAGCATGCAGTGCCTGGGCCTGGCAAGTTTTTGGAAGGGCTAAACTCCCAGCCTTCTTTTTCCCTGCTAGCTCTGGCTGAAATAATGGTTATTGCCTTCAGGCGATAGAGTGTGTCTTAGTGTTCCTTATGTTTTAGGTTAGACTGTTGGACCTTTTGTTGATGTCTTCTTGTTTAAGTTGTTTGGTGGAAGGTTGTTGAAGCCGATACTCTATGTTCTTTCTAATTGGAAGAATAGCCGTTTTTGCAGAAACATGCCTGCACCCACTGTTGAACTGTCATTCTTACACTGCTCTGCCGGCACCCGCTGGGAATTTCCACTTCGCCATTTCCCAGTACCCACATCAACAAAAATTTCATCCTGTGAGAACTAATCTCTTATCTGCTCATACTGAGAGTTAATTAAAGTCTCGCTGGAGAATTGTCCTCTCAGGTACAAATTTATTGGAACTTCTGAACCCCAGAGTGCTGCCCCTCTGTCTTGGCAGAGCAAATGCGAGGACAGAGCCATGGCTGTGCATTTCTCTTTCCCCAGAGAGCGGTTCTCAGGACACCAAATTCAGTCATCATTCATTTGCTTCCCTGGGACTTGGCAAAGTGGTATGTGTCCCTGCGGGCGGTGCTCAGGGTACCTCTGCTTCAGTCTTTGGCAGGAGAAACAAATTAATATTTACAGACCTTGATATCTCCATCAGCTTTGTAATTTTCAGTACCTCTGAAAATCTGAGTTTGCTTCTGATAGAAATTCTGAATGTTAACTTACATAGATCTGAGGTGCCTTAAAAAAATATCCACTATGCTTCTCTTAAGTAAGGAAATGAGCGGATTGAAGCCACCCACCTGCGTGTGGGGTTCTTGCTCCGTGTGTTGGTAAGTCAGCCTAGGACCCCAGGGCCTGTCCAGCACTTGGCATTGGCAGCCCTGCCCCCTGGAGGTGTGGGAGCCTGTGTGTGTGTGTGTGTGTGTGTGTGTGTGTGTGTGTGTGTGTGTGTGTGTGTGTGTGTGTGTAAGCCAGGTGGAGCACTGACGGATTTGAGTGCCCTCAATGACTGCCCTCTGCATTGCTGTGCAGAAGAGAAAGTGCCTGTCCACAGCTGGCAGCAGAATTCTCTGAACACTTATGTGTGGGGAGAGCACCTCACACCAGGCGCTTTTCTAAAGTGCTCAACATAAACTCGCTTCTGACTCACAAAACCCCACGAAGTCACAGCCCTAGTTTTACAGATGAGGAAACTGGGGTCTCTTGTCTAAAAGCTTTCT